CCAGTATGACACTAGGAATATTCCATTATTGGGAAATTATCCTCTTCTTGGGATATTTTGTCCAAAATTCAGTTCTCAAATCTAATGAGGCTGAAACATTTTTTTCAGTGTTTCTTCTTTTCCTTTGCTGTGGTCTTTGGCTGATTTGTACCAAATATTAGGTTATAGTATCATATTTTTGCCTAGGACAACACTTTGGAGTTGGCATGGGCTTTGTTTTTTAACTTTTATTTCATAATGAAATGGCTGAAAGAAGATAGAAACATTCTTTTCATTATTTTCCCTTCTGGGGAATGAAGAGGAAGTTCCCTCCCCTTTATAGAAACACATGAGGAATTGGATGAAATTGTTACCCTTCAGTATTGATGTCTACAGACATTCACCTGTTTCCCAAAACAAATCCTTCTGTCTCCTTCCCCAGAGCTGTGAGTATTTTCAGCCTAGAATGTTAATGATCATACTCATTAACATGGTTTGAAAACTGTATCCTTAATTCTCATTGTAGAACTGATTTCTGATAGAAAGAACAAATGTGTGACAGTGCTCCTTTTGAAAGGGACTGTCATTTGAGATTTTTGACTTGCTAGGTCAGAATCTTTTTTACTTTATTGCTCTTTCTCAACAAGACACAATGGAAACTTTTTAGGTAAAGTGAAAATTTTAATTATGTTGCCTTTAAAGAGATAACATAAAGCAACCTTTTACAGTTATTTACTTGTTAGTCGTGATGGTAGAATTAGATGCTGGGGAGAAAGGGAGTTCTGTCCACAAGGAGCTTTTTCCCTGGAGATGGGGAGACAGCCTCACCCAGGAATCAGAAGGGGGATAAAAGCTCATGGCAGTTTAATTGTGTCATAGCTAGATCAGCAGGAAGCTGAAGCTTCTCACTAAGTATACTTTAATCTCCTGGAATGAAAAACGTTTATCCTGGTGGTACTTTCTGTAGTTGAGGTATTCCCCCCAAAAATGTTGTGTGAAACTGAAGTTTTTAAAACAACACTTTCAGTTGTTTTAAGAGCTCACTGTTTGAAGCACTGTGGATGAATCCTTTGCTAAAAACACTGACTTTAAATGAACTATTAGTAAATATGGATTTTCATGCTTTTATGTTTGAACTATGGCTCTAGATTTGAGGTACATATTTATTTAAAGGTATGGGCTACTAATTATAACTTAACCTGACTTTTAAAGGCATCACTGTTTCTTGAGAATTATAGGGTATGAAGCCATATACTTAAGTCAGTTACCCTGATGCTTAAGTCAGACTGTTTAAACCTTGTATTGTGGTTTCATATTACTTTACTTTCTCCTTTCCCTGTATTTAATATAGCATGTTACTTCTGGATAGTAGCAAGAACAGCCTGATCCTTCTGTAGCATTCCAAATAGCCTTTTAAAGTTTTTTTTAATAAATTTTTTAATAGTTTGTTGGACAAATGGTAAATGTTTGATAGAGTTAGATAATAAAATAAATGGAACGTGTGATTTGTCATGTGTTGCCATTTTAATTACTAAGACCTCACCTACCTGGACTTTCATTACTTATCACGTTATCTAGAATCTAGAATATACTTAAGAATTAGGACAAGGGGCAAAAGCCTGTTGGTTCCAAACACTACAGCTTTATATTTTCAGCATGGGAAAATGCCTTGAGCCCTCACTGAGAACAATTTTATATACACTTTTTTTTAAAATTGAAGTACAGTCAATTACAATGTGTCAGTTTCTGGTGTACAGCACAATGTTCCAGTCTTGCATACATATACACATATTTGTAATTTTATATAATAACTAATAAGCTTGGTTATCAGGTTTCTGAATGCAGTGGGTGAAAAAAAGGTTGCTAGAGGTAGATAACAGTGATAGCAGTGGTGATTCACAGAAAGGGAGAGACGAGAGGAAAAGACATAAAAGTCTGTGCTAAAAGTCTGTGCATTAGTTTCAGGCCACCCAGTGGAGTGGCGCACAGCCCTTACCCCTCATGAGGTCATTTTGGTTATCAAGTCATCAGAAATTGTGTTCAGTTTTCTCAGGTAGGGTATCTACTTTTTAAAAATATTTTCCTTAAGGATGAATTAATATATTCTTAATAAAGTTTTGGAAAGCGGGGGAAAACTCAAGAAAACAAATTATACAAGATATACATGAAAACCTAAAGAGCGTTTCAGTTGGCATTTTGATGTTTTACCACTTTTAAAAATTTTAAGAAGTATCCATATATGCCATAGTTTATTAGGCTATTATGCCCAGCTACAAATGAGAAAACAGAAGTTGAATGAAATTAAGCAATTTGAATTTACGTTCTTTCTGCTAAATGATCGCTGGGAAAATCTGCGTCAGCCTATAGAAGTGTGCTGTCATCCCCAGCCTAAGATTGCCAGGTAGAATACCAGACACTCAGTGAAATTTGAATTTCAGATAAACAATGAACAATTTTTTGTTGGTGTAAGCGTATCCCAAATATCGCATAGCACGTATTTCTAGCCGGTCTTTTTTTGATGTGTGCAAGCACATATATCTCTAAGCACATGTATGTGTGTGTTTTTTTGTTGTTTTTTTAACAAAATTAGGTTCCTGTTGTATCTTCTCCTTTTGTTGACAATACATCATGAGTATCCCCAAAGCCAAACATTGTTGGTAAATACCAGGAAATTGTCTACTTGCCAGTAGCTTAAAATTTTGATGCTTTAAAGAGTAATCTCAAAATTATTTAGGGCAACCGTGCCTCTCCAGAGTGGCATTCACTGAGGATCCCAGAGAGCCCAGGTTCCACTCAGCTCTAACAGGGTGCCTGCTTCTGTTCCTTTTCAGGCGGGTGCCACGTCTATGTGGGCTTCGTGCTGTGGGCTGCTGAATGAAGTCATGGGGACCGGAGCTGTCAGGGGCCAGCAGTCAGGATTTGCAGGAGGTACCGGTCCATTCAGATTTACACCAAACTCTGATTTTTCTGCTTACCCACCAGCACCTACAGAAGGGCCTAATATAGTTTGCAAAGCCTGTGGACTTTCATTTTCAGTCTTTAGAAAGAAGGTGAGTTGGATGAAATGTTACATACAGAAGACACGTGTATCAGAATTTTTGATTGTAGTTGTTTTGAATACTAATGAATATTCATTTCTTATACAAATACTGAAAAGTTAGTCCTAGTATCCATTTCCCCTTTTAGAAAAATAGTCAGTTGAAGGGGCTGTGTTAGTGGCCAGGCTTTCTGACTAGACATTATCCCTTGTTGCTCAGGCACCCTTTCTCCTGTCCTCTCACCTGTTTGTCCACTTGGATTCTTCCTGATGACGCTTATGTTCTGAAGCAAGAGATCTAATTAGTCTGCAGGGTTTGTTCAGGGATGATTTACTGTAACTCTGACCTCAGGTTTCAAAAATGTATCCCTACTCATATTCTTAACTCAAGTGCAGAAATGAGTATACTAATACTAACTTCTGTTGAAAGAGTCAACGTGAAACACTTGGGCTAAGACAGTTCTTTCCTTTAGGGCAGAAAGTCCTTCTTTCTGAGAGCCATCATATTGCCAGGCCATCTCCCAGGCTTTGATTGTCAATTCCATCCTTTGAAATATTTAAGGCGCAGAGTGTTAGCTTGTGGGAACAATGCCCTAAGCAGAAACGACCGCATCGCAGTGTCTTCTTTAAGCTTTGCTTATGGAATGGCTTTGTGATTAAGGCTGCGTAGGAACAGGTTACTGTATTAGTAGGGTCCTCGATTTCTTGGGTTGACCTCAAGGGATCGGTTGCCTCTCTCTTTCCCTTTCTGTTAGGCTTTCCCCCCTTCCCTTTAAACTGGGAAATTTTCACACAGGAAAAGAGCAGGAAGAGGGTTTGTGGTTGTGCTTTCTGCTCCATGTGATTCAAGTCAACTCTGTTTTGCTAATTACATGTTTGCACCAAGGGGTGGAAAGGTTTTAATTCATTAACACAAGAGTATGTTTCTCTTAAAGGGCTGTATTTGAACTTCTCTGAATCCAGACTGCCTCAGCAGTGACTGTTTTGATGTTAATGGCTTTTTGGAACGCTGATGGGGATAGCCTAGTGCCAGGGCGGCTTCATAAGAACTAAAATTGAATTTTAATAGAAGACAAAAAGGATACCAGTACTTTTACAATGGCTTATATCTGGCTATCATTAAATGCTGCTTTTCTGTTTCTTCAGCATGTATGTAGTGACTGCAAGAAAGATTTTTGCTCCGTTTGTTCGGTCCTTCAAGAAAATCTCCGTAGATGTTCCACTTGTCACTTATTACAAGAGACGGCCTTTCAGCGCCCTCAGTTAATGCGGCTCAAAGTGAAGGATCTGCGGCAGTATCTCATTCTTAGAAACATACCAACAGATACGTGTCGGGAGAAAGAAGACTTGGTAGATCTAGTACTGTGCCATCGTGGGCTGGGCTCCGAGGACGACCTGGACACGAGCAGTCTGAATTCCTCCAGGTCCCAGACCTCGAGCTTTTTCACGCATTCACTTTTTTCAAACTACACAGCCCCATCAGCTACTGTGTCTTCGTTTCAGGGAGAGCTTATGGGTGGAGACCGGACCTTCGGATCTGGAGCGCTGGGACAGGTACGAGGTGTGCTGACCCCGAGGGCCTGGCGTGTCGCCTCTTCTCGGCCGTATGCGGTGGGGCCTTCAGGGCTGATGCCTCCTCACGGGAGCAGAGGTTCCAGCCGCTGCTGGATTCTGCGCCTGCAGCCTCTCCTGGTGTGAGGCTCTGAGCCTGGGCGCTGCCTGAAGGGCCTAGAAAGAGCCCATAAGTCTCTTGACCTTAGTTACCGCAGTTTCCCTGTCTTCTGTAGTTCAAAACTATCTGTGGAAATGACTGTGAAAAGCAGCATAACGTCTGCAGGACTGCTTGTGTGTCCGTGACCATGGAAACTGCAAGTTAACCTCATGCCCAGTTGCCCTGCTACAGTAAAATTGTTCTCACTTAGATACTGGGAAGAAGCCATCTGAATTAGTGAGAGAATGTGGTGGTTCACTCATTTCAAAGAAATTCCGGAGCAAAATATTGTCCCAGGGAGGTGGGTCCTTGGGCATCCTGATTGGATAACATGCAAGGCTGTGTAATTAGTATTCAACTTGTGTCTATGAATGATTCTAAAATGCTGAAAGAATTGTTTTGAACATTTATCTTCACATTTAATTTTCTCCCCTGAGGAGAGAGGTTGGAAGCAGAGGGAAATTTGGTCGAGTTGCTTTCCAAATAGGCATAAAGTAGGTAAGGCCAAGCTTAGGAGTTTTATTATTTTCCCACCTGGGAGCTGGCATAGTTATGATGCCAACAGAAGACACATCTGACCTTTGTGTCACTTTTGGGCATGTGATGCCCGTTGGGAGACGGAGGCTTTTGGTTGCTATGTTATGGTGCTTGTGAACTAGTCATTGTATTATACCTGAAACTGGGAATTGACCTAGACTGTTAGAGAGCTGTGGTTAAAGTCGAAAGAGAAAGATACCACCCAAATTGAAGGGCTTTCTGTTCTCCCTAAAGCAAAAAGTATCTGATGGTTGAGGAATTTCTACAAACTAGAACTAGCATCAACCGTCAATGTGTCAGTCTAGGAAGCATTATTTGGAATTAGAATGTGTAAGTATGATGTAGTAGGAGGGAGATCTTTGACGTCGAACACCTGACACTAGGGCCGATCTTAGAGCTTTAGCTTCTACCTGCATCTGAGAGGTTCCAGTTAAACCAGCCACATGCAGGTCCTTTGATGAGGATTCAGTGCTTTCCATATGCTTTTGGCTTTGGCATTCATGAACCTTCCTTGGGGAGTTAACACTCTTGGCTAGATTTTATAAGTTCACACACACACACCGGAATTTGACTGCTGAGATGACCGTGGACGGTAAGTAGTTGGTGGAATCATGGAAAGCCCAGCTCTCTGGGAGGGACAGCAGCACTCAGGATCCAAAGAGGCTGTGGAGCGCGCCAGGTATTAGCCAGTCCTGGGGCGGATCTGGGGAAAGATTTTCTCCAGCGACGAATATGGGTTGATACTGTTCAGGGGAGTGATTCCTGACCTAATACACATTATGTGTGTAGGTGCAAAGTGAAGTAGCCTCAGCAAACACAGAAGATGAAGATGATGACGATGACGAGGATGATGACGAGGATGATGATGATGAAGACAACCTGGAGGAGCAGGTGAGGCTGAATGTGAGCTGTGGCTTCCCTGGTGTCAGCTTGGTAGACAGGGAGAATGCCTGTGTACCGGGGGTTTCTTCTGGTTTGAATGCGGCACAATATATAAAACAAGGACTGCTGAGCGGTCACCGGGGCCAGCGATGACCGCGGGTGAGCGGGGCACACCGTTTTCCTCGCTGGATTTGCGGGAACAGGGGTAACAGACACGCTCTGTGATTTCAGACACCTGGCCTGGCTAAGAAGAGAGTGAGAGCTTCTCTGTCTGACCTGTCAAGCCTGGAAGACGTGGAAGGGATGAGCGTGCGCCAGCTGAAGGAGATCCTGGCTCGGAATTTTGTCAACTATTCTGGCTGTTGTGAAAAATGGGAGCTGGTGGAGAAAGTAAACCGGTTATACAAAGAGAATGAAGAAAACCAGAAGTCATGTAGGTTTATTTCCCTTTTTCCCCTATAGTGGCCTTCATTAGGCTTTTAAAAGCTGGGCTGTTTCTGTCACAGTCAAGTCCAATTTAATTCTGAGAAAACTTTGTGTCCTTTTACTGAGTGTGAATTAGTTATATAAACCTGTTTATAGATCTGTTAAGTAGTATGTTCATTATGTGATGTTGACTTTGAGATCACCATTGCCAGTGAGTTATATAATCATTTGTTGAGTCTGGTTTTTCTTGCCATAATTTGTTTGAACTCTAATG